TCTTTCTCCTTGCACAGGACAGCCCCAAGAATCACACTATCTGACAAGAATGAGACCATGCTTCAGAGCAGGTAATTTTAACTTTTAAGACATAGCACTGTGTTCAGTGATGTCTAAGAAACATGAATTGTCAGAAAATCTGGCTTATTCTCCAGCTAATTCCGTCAGGACTGGCCATGCCAGAGGAACCCACAAGGCCTTTTCTAACAAGCCCAGCCCCAAACAGCTGCAAGGCCAGGTGTGCTCCCCTCCTTTCAAAATTTTCCCCAGGCTAAAGGAGTGTCACTGATCTGTTTAAACTTATGAATGGGGCCAGACCAGGACACAAAAATTTTGGAGAGGGAAACGTTCATGCTATCGAGATAGTCAGCAGAGGAGATAGTATAGACGTAACTTAGATCATTTTGCTGCAATGAGCTGCTATGACCCTTCCAGACCCATCAAATGCTTTCTTTAGAAGCCCACTATCAAGGAACTTCTCAAAACCCTTGTAAAATTACAAATAAATTGTATTAACTGGTTCCCATCTATCCATGTTATAACTATGCTCATGACTTGTACAAAACTGATTCAGGTTTTCTTGTTTTGATTGAAAAAATATACATTATTAAAGGTAAATATTATTCACTAACCTATTAATTAAATGACAATAAGGGCTTTTGAAACCTGACACTCAGAGCAGGTAAGTAACATGGACACTTCTGCTTCTTAGCTAGTAATAACAAGGTACCACCAGCAATGGTTTTTCAGTTATGGCTCCTGCTACCAAGTTCCCCTTTTCTAAGAGTGTAAAGGAGGAGCTAATAAGAGACCTTCCAACACACCGATAAACCTCTGTTTTAGCAATTCTGGCAACATCTCTTTAGATTTATGCCTGTACCAATTGTAATAGTCTGAGCCTGGAAATGTAATGTCATGTACAGCGTGTAAGACTTTAGTGTGACTTAGCTGTTTTGTCTGAAAAACCAAAGCCAAATTTCTGTTTTCAGTTGCAGTGACATAATTATGTTGTTAACTGTTTCATGTTTACCATCCTATTTTTGTCCCATGTGTTGCTGTTTTTCTGGATATTACCTTGATCTCTCTTGTGTCCTTTACTGAAGGTTCCTGAACCTCTCTTAGATAATCAAATGTTTATTTCTTAAGTAGCACTCAATGTTACGGCCATTTCAACATCTCCATTTCAGGTTACTAATTCCCATTACTAGTTAATATCTGTTAGCTGTTTATCCATCCCAGAGCTGGTGGTCTCAGACCAACTCCCAGTCCACCAGGTGATACAACCAACCCCCAAACAACATGGAAGCTGAAGGTTAATTAAAATGTAACGAGCCCCAGGCTAATCAATTATCCTTTACTGTCAAGCTCAGCACAGAAGGTAAGATTTAAGGCCAGGAGGACTGAACTGCATCTTGCACCTAGCATGGGCAAAAGCACCTGGTTGACCAGAAGAGCTGGCTACAGTAACACACGTGTCTAATAAACCCCCTGAGATGTTTCACAGCCAGGCTTCTTCTGGCTTTGTGCCCTCCTCATCCTGAGCCATGGCACGGCACAGCTCAGCCAGCACTGGCACCTGCCTGTGTACCAGCAGCACTCTCACCTTCCCTATGGGATTAAAAGTCACCTGCCACCTCTGGGGAGGGGAAAAGATGAAGGCTCACCCTAGTGACCTTCCCCAGGGAACCTGCTTCCTTACCAGTGCAGAACCTGTGGGAGCTCTCTCACCAGGGCCATATGGCAAAGAGAGGAGCCCTCTCTGCTGTGCAGGTGGGTCCCTGGGTAGGACAGTGGTGGGGCTGGGTGCCAGGAGGGAATGCATCCTTCACTTGCTCTTAACCCTCTCTCTATACACAGCCCTCTTGTACATCCACGGATGCTTTTCTGGATGGGATTGCTTAACTCCCCCCACTGCAAAACAAAGTGTTTCATCAGACATGCTTGGCTACCAAGTCCAAAAAAACCCCAAACCCTGGAGAGTAACTCCTGGGGCTGAGGCCACAGAGCATGACTAATGCGAAGCTGAGAAACCCTGGCAGCCTGTGACAGCACAGCTGTAAAGTAATTGTTAATTCTGCTGTTGTTAACAGGAATGCTCCAGTTTCTCTCTCATGCGATTCGTCCCATGTTTCCCAATAACTGCTGCAAAACTAACAACCTGCCTCCTCACAGGAGGCAGCTCTCCAACTGCCAGAGACAAGACTGTCCTGAAGTCACCTTTCCCTCCCTCCTCCGCATTAATATAGGCAGTAGAAGGCTGGGTCCTATCTTGCAAACAGAAAAAAAAAATTATTGCCTTTTTGTCATCTTTGAAAGAGATAACAAAATGTAACAAACCTCTTACTCTGATTAGGTTCTGCTACAGAAAGAATGATCCATTACAACATGAGCTCATCAGCTGGAAGAACAGTCTTTCTATAGAGGCAGTTATGTCTCTCTCATGGTCATCCATTAGTAGGATTTCCTTAGAAATTTCCTGAGATAGGAGATGGTGAAAAGAAATTTTTAGTATCTTAACTCCAGTTAATTTTTACCTTTGGATTTCAATTCCCAAAAGCTAGATGCCAATGCTTTGGCACCACTGCATGTTAGCAGCTGGTGTCTGGAACAGCTCTCACATTACATTACAGCACCTTTCACAAATAATTCAGGACTGGCTTTCCGAACTCCAAGATCTTCTTGAAAAAAAGACCAAAAAATGCATTCCTAAGAACATCATCACCCCTTAAAGGTATGGTACCAAGGCCAAAATGAAAGGGATTTTGTTTCGCATTTGTATCCTCAAGATGAGTAGTTACTCATCACTGGTGCATTCTTGTGAAAACGTGGCAAAATACTCACTATGCAGAGACTGCATGCTGTCAAGTAAAACCAAGTAAAATATTGTATTTGCTAACATCATTTCTTACTCCATTTGTGTCAGAATTCGAACAAGTGTTGAACATTTTTTTAAAGACCCGAAGTCAGATATACATATTCCATTTCTAAAACCTGACTCAGTATTCCCATACAAATGTGTTAGGTTTGGCTACCTGTCTGATAGCCACATTATTGTCAGGAAAACGACAAGACAGGCTCTAAAGTAACTAATTTGGAGCCAGCAGTTGTCCCAGTACGTGAAGCATTGGTATCCATGAATGCGTGTCCAGGATGGGCCAAACCCTGACCTTGGTACTCATTGTCTCCCAGTAACCCACTGTCTTTGGAACCACTCTTAGACAAACCTCTCTGCAAAACCCTGCTGTGAACTACACCAGGGAATTCTTTAAAGTAAGATTAAAAGGGGGCAAAGGAGAAGTTTAAACAAGACCAAATTCTCTCCCAAGTTCACTGAAATTCCATGATCAAGTGGGTCAGCAGTCAAATTGTAGGAACATCACTGCACAGGGGTAGGAGGAAGCACCTGGGAACAGAAACACCTTCAGTAGAGAGAAGGGCTCCCCTTACCACCAAACCCATCCAACCCACTAGTGCAGCCTCCTAGGCAGTATTTCTAGCACTGGCTTACAAGGCTCCTACTAAAGCCAAGTAAGAATTTGTCAGGGTACAAAAACCTCATGCATGAGCTCTTTTAAGGGCACCAACTCTGTTGTCAGCAGCTCCAAGCACCAACTGAAGGCAGTGAAGAGGCATTTACACAGTGCTTTGGCAATCAGCAAGTTATAATTAGTAATCAACATTAGAAATGTTACACTAGTATATACATTTGAAATTTCAAGCTACACTTGTCTTATGAACACACATAGGTAGTTGATGTACAAACCATGAGGGCCTTGGACTACAGTTTGGCCTTACTCCCAATCAAGGCACTTTGCTATTAACTTCAGTGGGGGCAGAAAAATCCTTGCAGAGTTAAGGCTCTGGCACAAAACTCTTGCTGCTCCTTTAAACACCACATCATGTTATCTCCCTAAGCAGCTATCCCACTTTAGCTTCCTCAGAGGTCAGCTATTCATCTCTGCTAAGTACATCCGGTGTAGAAAGAAAATTCCATAATCCTATTTCGTGTGCTTGTTTTCATATGCACAGCCACAATTCTCCCACGGCCAGCCCAGGTCATACAAGAAAAATTGCCACTACGGCTGTCTGTGCTGCACAGCAGACAGATGTTCACAAGAAAAACTTTGCTGGGGCTGGTTCTTAATTATTGTGTGCTACAGTGGAGGTAAGTCAAATGAATAGACATCATTACTTAAAATGCAAAGCAAAAAAAGCATGGATTTTCATGTCTACTAAATTATTATTACCTGAGTTCACAGTCTCTGTGAAAGACAGAAATCAAGAATATGAAGAGAATTGGCAAAAATTATGCAACTCATTTACTTAGAGAGTTTATTTCACTTCGGTATATTTACTTAAGCCTCTTAGACAAGAACTCCCTCAAAGCTTATTACAGGATGGATGTTTCCTTCTTGCATTTTGGCTGACCTGCTGACCCTGCAGGACTCACCTGGCCCTCCAGAGAACAATCCTCCTGCAGTGCTAGCAAGTGCTTACAAAAACTAATCTCTCTACTTTTAGCTCCTTTTAAATTAAGCTTAGCTTCCTGGAAGAAGCAAAGAAAGAAGAGGCAGCACCATGACACTTCCATGCTGTACACGAGCAACCATTAAGAGGAAAAAATAGGCAGCCCACCTCTACCCCTGGTGTGAGACATGAGACCATGGGTATTTGCAACTACACCACCTGGTTTTGTACTTATCCCTGGTAAAACTGACTGGCCAGAGGCAGAAATGTTTAGGTCACTCCAAGAAAAATGCCAAACCATAGCTCCTACCCAAGCACATTCACGGATTCTCACAAGTGTCAACTTGAAGCAAGTCCAGCTCTCATTCAGCAACACAATTGTGTTGAAGAGGCTTTGCCTGCACTTCCCTTGTGTAGGTTACAGAATAGTGACTCATTAAAATACTTGGCCACATTTCCTTTGATAAAAGAAGGTGAGTTTGCTACCCCTGAAAATGAAGTGAAACAGTCCAATCAAAAGTTATTTATCACAGCATGAATCTTTACTGACCAGCGAGGTTATTTTAATATACAAGAATAGTTCTGGATTGATTCTGTTTGTACAGAGAAGATACCCCTGCCCATTGAATGACATCCTTCATTTCTTGTAAGGCAGAGTACTCAAATACAAAACTTAAATACCATATGAACAATTTCAACAGAATATTTAATAAACGGGAGTAAAAAGTTTAATACTTTTTAAAAAAGCAATATAAAAAACTGCATTAGGAGTAAAATGCAGGTCCATCCAAACATTAGTCTGTCATATCACTTATTCATTTTCTCCCGTAACAAAGAGGTGCACATTTTTCTTGGACTGTAGCATTTGAGCTGTGCGATCTATGCCAACCACTGCAGCCAATTTCTGAGCATCATACTTGGAGTAGAGCACAGTACAGGTCCAAGTAGCATCCACTCCATTGTCTGTGGCCTTCATCATGTTACAAATCTCACTGTAGAAGTGGCAGTATGTTGGTAACTCATAGAAAATGAGGTTTCTAATGCCTTTAATTGTATACCTGTAGTAGGAAAAACCAAGAAAGCAAATTTGTTGCCAGTTTTTACACAAGGTGCATGTTAAAACATGAATCCTGGATCAGTTCTTCCAATTTTCATCAGCTTCAATGCACATCAGTTGTAGTTCAATTCTACAATTCTTGTGGACTGAAGACTATCCAGAGAAGTGGAATTTAGAGGGGAAGAATCTAACACTTCCAGGCACAATAACTTGCTCTAAAGTACTGACCACTACCAATTTATGGAGCGTTCAGTCTCTTTAGTTTGGATTTTAAGACAGTGAAGCCTGATCAGACCAAGCATCATGAAACTTTTCATATTTCCCAAAACATTTTATGTTAATAGTAAAAATCCTGTTCCATTAGGAACTTGCAAACAAAAAAATTGAACCAATTATATATCCTTTTCCAAAATGTTTGCAATTACTGTGGCACAGATGAACACAAATAAAAGGCCCAGTGAATCCCATTTGCAGGCTATATCATCCTGTCCTGACATCAATGGAACTTGGCAGTACTTACCTTCCTGAATCAAGCCTGGCACGTACCAAAGTATTAGAGTCTTTGCAAAGACACTGCTGACAACACATATAGACTTTGAAGTAAACTCAAAAGCTCTTACTTCAGTCAAGGAAGTCCTCAGGGAGATCCAACAGATTCAAAAAACAGTATAGCCCATCTATGACTGAGGTCAGACTCTACCTTCAAAACAGCACACATGCAGCTCAGAGGGAGAACTCGGTCCACAACTCACCTTTTGTAAAAGTGGAAGCGCTCGGTGAACAATAGAAACTGCTTCTCTCCCTTGAGAAAGAAGCGCCTTGCTCTGCAGACAGCAGCCTTTTTCGTGTATTCACAAATGTGAGTGAAATTCAGGTCCTCTTTCTTGAAGTAATTTCGAAGACGTACGTAGTCAAAGTATGACGGGACATAGATGAGTGTGTGGGACATGATGGCATCGCGGTACTCGGGCAAAACTTTGTCGATGAAAAACTGGAACCTTGGTTAAGAAAACAAGTATCTTGTAACCAGAGTTAGCATTTAGCTTGGTAATATTGATATGAGCTCTAACAGGAATATCAAACAACAGACTGCCGAAGATTTTCACTACATTTTTCTTACTTTTAACTTCATAGGATTTGTACATGTGTAGAAGATTTAAAGGCTTTATCACTAATACACAGTCATGACAGAGATTGGTATTCCTTTCCCAGAATTTATTCTCTGGTGCCTTTGGCAAGGAGAAGGCTGCTATTCCCCTCCACCTGTGCAGAGCCTAGCCTACACCTGAGGACTAATAAAGGCATCCTTCTGTAGTGGAACCACATTGTGCTCTGCAGGAAACAGTACGCTCCACTAACTCTGAAACTGCAGTCATTAGGGCACAGCAAACCAGTCTGAAACACAGAGTACCTTGCATCTATTACACAGGTCACACTTTCAGCCTCCAGTCTCCGAAAAACATGGGGAAGTTGGACCACAACATGGCTGATGGAGCCAGTGAGCGGCACGTTGCGGACAGCGACCTGCAAGAATCAAGCAGGATGTTTAGGGAAGCAATGTTCCAAAGGGAGGCACACTCACTCCAGCCAGCTTTCTGCTCATAACCCACACCTGTCAGCACTGCACATGGCTGTTTTTAAGGAAGCCCAAATACAAAACTACAGTTGTGTATACAGATACCGGATCTGTTAAATATATGATGACTGCTTGCTGACTTCCATAGATTTGAAACAGTCTATTAAGGGTTTTACTTTTCCTGTTTTTTTCAAAGTAATGACAGTTTGTGCTTCCTATACAGTAGGAAGAAAAAAAAAAAAGGAGGAAGCAGGCAAACCCTCCATTTAATAACAAAATAAATAAAACAAGATAACTCGTGTGTGTGAAAATAAGAAAAAAACCAAAGTCCAATTTCTGACATGGAACAGCAGCTAACCATGAAAGAAAAGGATCAAACAAGCATCACTGCAGGAGGAAGAGTTCTCCATGCCTCTGGCACAGCATGCAGTGTCATGGAGATTCAGACTGAAATATCTGGCTAAGGGAAATGATTGGCATACAGACAGTCTTTAAACAACCGAGTTATGGAATTTTTCTTCATGTTAGGTTTTCTGCTCCTCTCCTCCTCTCTTCCCCCAGCACTAGAAGAAGGCTTTCAACTCACCTGCCCAACATAATTGAAGCAGTGTTTGTTGAAGACAGAGTTAATCTGGGGGTCCTGCAGAGCGCTGAACAGCAGTGTCTGCCGGTAGTACTTGGACCAGTTGTTGAGATTCAACATTCGCACTCGGGAAAAGTCTACCCCATGGGAATCCAGAGGCAGCAGGTTAATGTGCTTCATCAGGTGCTACACAAAGAGATGGAAACACATCACTGCTGACATTCCTGTGCCAGCCTGCAAAAGCCTTAACTGCAGCAAGGAAGTGGGCAGGGGTCAGCAAGACAACACAGAATGTAGCAGTAGCATCTCCCAAGACATGACTGTCTGGAATTTACTGACCACAGCAAGAGTAATTTACTTGATTTCTTGCCACAGAACTGAAAGATACCATCTCCGTAGTCACTACTATCAGTAAACTTTGCTTCTAACCTTCTCCCCTAGGGCAAGTATAATGCATTTGTTTGTATTAAAGTCAACGGGCCCAAGGTTTCTGGGCCAAAAGAAGCACAACTGCAGCTTAGCTCCCATCACATTCAGGGAGATTTTGGGTGCATGTGAAGAAATTCACCTCATTTTGCCCTTAAGGAATGATGCCTAGGACTGGCATCCCTGCCACCACATGGCAGGCAGTCGCATCTAAAGGGAAAAACAGGCTTCAGGACTCATTCTTTGGATATCCTCTAGGCTCACATGCCCTTCCTGTGACTCCTGAGGAAAGAAGACACCTTCTGGATTCATTCAACATGCACAGCAATGTCAGGAGGGCAAAATGCCTGGCCCAGGTACCTCAAAGGTGTCTATGTGTGGAAAAGAAACCCCAACATTTCAATCCTGAAAACTTTTTATTAACTAAAAGTCAAAAAGCATGGGTACTACCACATACTAGCCACAATCCAAGAGCTCTATTTTCACTAAATGTACAGGAAAATATTCATACTGTTTAACTTTGGACATGACTAATGCTTAGCATCTCAGCAGTCAGTAGAGACAAGCACCAGCTCCTACTGCTTTCTGAAGGAACCCAAATTAGGTTGTAGAGATTCCTCACACGGCTGCAATCTGACTGAGACACTGGGCAGTCAGACAGCTGGCATATTTTATCCCAAATGTGATTAAAGGAATCATCATTATCTGATCCTGCAAGATAATTAAAACTGTCCAAAAAAATCTCTGATGAAATATAGCACTAAAGCACCAAATTTATAAAGAACAGGTGCTGAATACTAACAAAATCTGTAGAAAGAATATTCTTAGTATAAGGAAAATATCAGGGTAAGGGGTGGAATAGGAACAAACATACATATCTGGAATCAAGTCATTAATAAGTAGCAACGCTGCTCACTGCCAAAACTAAGTAACACTAGACTAACAAGACACTGTACAACACAAAAATAAATACATATGGAAAACGCACCAGAACGTGTTCCCAGTTCTGCATCAGGTAAATATCTGCTTGATCAATTATGAGAATTTCTATTGATGACAGAAAATCAAAATCTCTCTTCTTCTCCCCCTCTGCGCCAATAACAGTCCTTATCCCCAGGGGAGAGGCAATGATGATGTCTGAGGAGTAAAATGGTGCATACAGTCTCATACTCTTCTGAAGAATCGCAACTCCTGTCCAACAACAACCAACAGCATTTTCTTAGTTAAGATCAATCAGCAACCATATTCTTCCAGCAGACTCTGTAACAATAACTCCCTACATTTCCCCTCCCTTGAGACATACTGATGATTTGAGCTGGACACAACTAACCTGTCTGAAACTCTCCTTTCACCAAAAAGTGCTTACCTACCCTACCCCCTATTTGACAAGCCTTTGGCAGATTTTCATGAAGTCCAGCAAAAGTCTTCCAGTAGTACTCTTCTCCATATTTTTTACAACCTGGACAAAATTTTTTAATTGAAACATATTTCTTGTGATTTTCTGTTAAACAGGGGGACGAAGGGATTGAAGAGTTTTAGGGGAAAAAAAAGGCAGAAATTATTAACTATTGCTTTCTCCTTAAATCCTAGACTTTGGTCTCTGCTTTTAGGTACCATAGTAACTGTTCAGTTAGTAACCTTAATCTGTCATGAAAGATCTGGTGTGGACCTCTTGCCTATAAACGGCCTTTATTCACAGGACTGCAAGATTTGCTACTAAAACACAAAGGTCCTTCATATTACCATGACCAGCCTTGCAACTTCCCTGTCACTGCTTCTCACACTGCACATTGCAGTGTACAGGCTGAACCAGCTCATGTTAAAGACAGGAAAAGGAAAGAATCAAAGGAGTTTGTGACACAACTATGTGGCAACACTGCCAGAACCTGTGTTTTTCTGATCCTAAAAATCCACTAGTCTGCACCATACTCAAACCACCTCCTAAAGTTTGCCCATTCTGCTCACAATATAATTACTTTGCTCCTATATACTACGATCCTTTCTAGAGTTCTCAGATGAACTCCAGATGAACTCAGATAAATTGGAAATACATGGATTTGATGGACGGACCACTCAGTGGATAAAGAACTGGCTGGATGGTCGCACGCAGAGAGTTGTGGTCAGTGGCTCATTGTCCACGTGGAGGCCAGTGACGAGTGGTGTCCCTCAGGGATCAGTGCTGGGGCCAATACTGTGCAACATCTTTGTCGGCGACATGGTCAGTGGATTGAGTGCACCC